CTGGTGCTGAGTTAAAGCTGTAAATATCAGCCTTAATGTAAAAAAAGAGGTTACCAAGGACTGAGCTCAAAACGACAACACATTTAATCTGTAGCAAATGCCTTAAACTGTTTTCTGTAGAAAGCAGCCTGTTTTATTTTACGGTGTATTCATGAAAAAAATCCATAAGCAGATCACTTCAGGGACATGAGTGAGGTAGAAATAACTTAGACTAAAGCATTCGCATGATCACCTGCTGCAATTGGCAAGGTTTAAATTAAGAAGTGTTAATAAGGCATCACATAAAAATACAGCTTTTTACTTGAACTTCTCTAATCGCCCAAGTTTAAATTTGCCCAGGTATGTTTAATAATAATATAACCTCGTTGTCTCAGTGAAGCATCAATTTCTTTTAAATGCCCATTGGGCATTCTCATGTAGAAACACATTTTAGCCTGGATGACTTGTTAAATTCACCCGGAATACATTCACCCAGAAACCTAAAGAACATTGCTCCTGTGACAGAGTACCTATACAACCCCCAAACATGCCGCTATTGTAGCGTCATTCATAATACGCCATTCCTGACGTCGTCGTTAATGACAGAGCGTGATAAGCATTAACAGGAGACCTTGCTACAGCTATTTCAGCTAATTAAACTATTAAATCACTTTGTCTCTTGCAAGGGAGCGCTTGGTCTGTTCTGTGGTGAGAGTGCTGGGGAGCGTGCAAATAGCGTCTCATCTGTTACTAATCGAGACTGTTTTTCCCAGACTCCAAAAAGGGTACACACTGAAAATGCCATCACAAACTCGCAACTAAAAACCTCCCTCCCCCAAGTCCCCCGCCCCCAGGAGTACAAGCAAATTCTGTTATGGCTCTGTAATGATTTGGGAAATTATTGTGGAATGAGCTGAGCAGAATATCGATGCTGTAAGGGAGCACGCACACTGAAGCATACCATTTTAAATGTCCTTGAGTACAAATAAAGGCCAAAATATATGAAAAACTGCCAAAAAAAGAATGAGTGCAAACAGGTTTTTCCATGCACTGTTTTGCAAAAGCCATCATCAAGTTTTTAACAAGGTTACGACTATTGCGTCAGGCAGTACGATGACTAAGCAAACAAACAAAGAGAAATTAAACTGTGTAACTAGCCGTACAGTGGTAGGCTCAGTAAATAAGAGGTATTATACATTCATCAGAAGCACTTAAAAAAACCCCCAACCCTTTACCAGTTAATTTAACATACATAAATGAATTGCATTTTTCTAAGCAGCCGGATGGTTGCTGTCCGTGATTGCACACGGCGAGTCACTGTCCGTGGGGCAGTTATACTGAAGTTCTGTTTTGGCTATAAAGTATTTTCTTGTTGATGAAGACTAGTAACGCTACAAAACAGACTTGTCGCTAGCTGCTCATCAGTTAGGAAGGTGCCGTTGTGCACAGCGGTTAGACGGCCCAAACGAACGTCAGTAAGAGCTGTCCCAGTCTGAGGACTGACACCGTGAAAGAAGTGGTGCGACCAGCAGTGAATCCATGTCTCCTGAAAGATACACGCTGATACTTATTCTCTCTTTCTCACTCCCTCCCTAAATTTTTTTTTTGGTAATGAAAACTTTACATTTCTTGTGGTGCAATGTTTGTGGGCTGGGACATACACTCGTCTCCCAGATACCTTAGCATGCATTTGGTGAAGAGGGGCTTATGCTGGCCCTGACTGGCTTCACCTGTTACTAACTTAACATCCCACCTTTATTTTACAGTGTGTGATGTTGCCCTGTAGGCTGGTCTGGCCAGACTTACCTGTTGGATATGTCATGATTGGCTGTATTCTCAAAACGACAAAGCTAAAAGACTTTGTTTTCCTTCTAATCCCTTAATCTACTGGTGTTGGCGGCTCTCCTGATTTATCCAGGGCCACACATTTTTTTTTTTTTTTAATTCTTGATTAATGTTCACAGCTTTATCTTTTATATTAGTTTTTCTTACAATAACACAATCTACAAATCACTCATGTCATTGGATTCCTTTGCTTCAGTTAAGCCAGCGTCTGTCAGATCTGATATTCTGAATAGGTCATCTTTTTTCCAGAGTATTCACAATACCTCTTGCTAAATCTTTTTTTCTCCTTAACACAGCTCACCTCCTGTGAGGATCACCCATGCTGCTTTTTTTTTTTTTTTTGGCTATGCTGAAAAGTGATGTTAGCATGGCAAATGAGTGTGGGTGGGGTGCCAAGCGAAAAAAAACCTTCATTAAGCCTATCCTGACTTTGCATAGCTGTGTTGTCACGCCACGTTGCAGTGGTCCTCACCAGAGCTGTACACCTCTGTGGCTGCTTCTAGACCTGGCGCTTTAGGGTGCACTCCAGAGCGTTGTGCTACAATAAGCTGAGTCACTCCAGTTCGCTCCCAGTATGCTGCCAAAGCATTTGTCTGCCTCTGAGCATACAGGAGACATCATTTTAGACGAGAGCGGGAGACTGCAGCACTTAAATAACTTCAGTTATAGAGCCCGCTTCTCAGTGTGGTGTCGCAGTGCCCCAGCTCAAGCAAAAGGGATCTTCCACCCAACCTAAGCTGCCCCTAGCTGAATAAATTGGGTGCTTGATGGTTAAAAGGTTAGATACTATATCTGAGGAGAGGTACAAGTTGACTTTAGAATTAAGACATAACGCCTTAGGACAACTAACGTTAACTCAAAGGAAATAATCATGTGAACACTATCCTGAAAAAAGTTATCCTCTGTCCTTTGATATAGACTTCTTGTATGTAACTGTAACAATTAGACCAAAACATCAGGTCAGGCAGTTGAAGAGTATGAATACTCTTGTACAATTTATATTGCTTAACTTGTTCATAACGGACACTTCTTATTCAGGCAGGAGTAAAGACCAGGAAAAAAAAAATCTTTGGCGGGGGGCAGGATTCTTTCTGTGGCTAGTTAAATACAAATCCTAACCGAATCAGCATTCAGCACTCGCTTAAATATACTTTAAGCTTTTTACAAGCTAGGGTATCATGGACACAGGTTATTTTCAGCACTTGTTTCTTATTGTCATCTGGCATTTAGCGATAAGAACTGTTTCACGGGGGTCAGTGTTGCTCTGAGTTGTCCTCCACAGGAATTGTTTTCCTGACGGGACATGGAGAAGTAAGTCTGCTATTGCGGCTCACTGTACATCTTCTTGAGCTGTTCTACTCTGAGTGTGCTTAACTCCCTGCTTTTGATAAATTTCAATTCCTCTTTTTCCTTGCACACATATACAAATTAATTATTTGAAAGGTGGAAACACAGACAGACGTGCGTTTCCCAGAGCACTAGCACTGTTAACTTCCAAATTAGCATCACCCTCTTCTGAGGCCATCTGCTTTTTGAAAAAAGTCAACAATTTTAATTGTCTTCCCTGGAATGTCAGACGGATTGTGAAATGGTGAATATGAGCTATTTTAAAATAATTCAGCTTACCTTTATGCTCCTGACACTTAAAAATGGGCCCAAAAGCCAGACTGCACTGTGAAAACGAACAATGAAATGACATCTTGCCCCATCTAGTTTTCCCCACTTCAACCCATTCAGTTTGAAACTGCATATAAAGGGACTTAACCAACAGACATACTGTACAGAGCATTTTAATCAGTATAGCACCAAGACATAACAATGCGTAAAATACATAAATAAATGAGACCGATTAAAAACAAAAGGAAATGAACATAATGAAATATATATGCTACAGCACAGAAGATCCAGGTTGTGGTGCTGGCCCAGATCTTACTGCTTTTGATCTTTATGAAACAGCCTCAGGTGAGAAGCAAAAAAATCATTCCATCATACAGCTGTTTATTATACTGCAACGACTACCTTCCTCTTTTTTTTGGGGGGGAGAGGTATTAGCAGATTCAGAGAAGAAAATAATAACACGCTATGACCCTTTTCAGAGAAACAGTATATCATTTTGTTATTTGAAGCTAATTTAGTCTTCCTGGGACAACAAAACGCCAAATAAGTATATGTGGCTCAGAGAGCTTAGCCGTCACCTTTAGTGAGTTAGAGGCATACCAGAGCATCAGCACTGATCTGCATTTGTCTTGTGCACCAGCTTACACTGCCTCCGAAGGCAGCGATGATGACAGATCAGTGTGGAAATTGTTCCTACAAGGAAAAAGTCAGCGTGAATGTAAATGGAAACTATATTCTGCCTTAAAAGAAAAAAATAAAGTCTTTGTGGAAAGGCAAGGCACTCTCTGCACAACACCAGACCATCCTGCCCTCGGGAACACGCAGGCAATCGCACCGCACTCACTGGGGACTGCATGGCTGTATACAAAAGTTAAGACCTAATTCATTACTTTTACCAGGCTGTTTGTCCTTCATTTCTTTTCCCTTTCGCAAGCAGGGGGCAGCAGCAGTCCAGCCATGGGAGGAAAAGTGACTTTGGCTTGTTATCTAAACTTGGGAGCAATTCTGATCACCTTTTCCCATTTGATTGATGCAATCGTGCAATGATGGGCAACGATAATTATGATGACAGACAGTGTAAAGTTGATAGACCCTAAAGCATGAGGAAAGTATATGATTTAGTTACTTTTAAACAAAATCAACAACTGGGATTGTAAATAGATCTCAGCAAAATATACTTCAGATAGTCAGAACGGGGACTGCAATTTCTTTGAAAGCAAGAGGATCTTAATTTTCTTTGTGGGGGAACAAGAGCAGAAGTAGAGGAATGGTGGGAAGACAACAGGGTAGTTTTGTGAAATATCTTGGATTGCCCACATCAAAAGTAAAAAGACTAGTCTAAGGAAAAAGAGCGGAAAGTGCGTAATTTCACGCTTTGGTGTGCCAGCCTGCACAAATTGTAGAAAGCTGGGAAAATGGCCAAAATGGTTTTGATATATTTTAACTGCTTACAACATGCAATTTGACTTCACATTCACTGTGTTTGTTTCTGAATATCACACGCAGAAAATAAAAAAAATGGACAGGGAACAACTTTCCACGGATGAGACGTCCATATTTATTGTTCTTCCATGTGCATAGAAAATGGCAGTGAAGTTTCTTATGAAAGAGGCAGGGAATGGGAAAGGTGTAGATATACTGAACTGGACTTTGTGCTTCAAAATTACACTATTAATTTTAAAAAGTTTTTTTTTGTAATTTATAACACTTTCTTGGATTTTATTTTTTGTACGATGTTTCAAATTTGTTTAAAATGACACACTGCATTACAAATGATGGCACTTTTAACCAATGTGGCATTTCCATATTTACACCAACAAAATAAATTTACAAGACGTAATAGCATACAATCTTGACATTTAGTAATAGCAATAAAACAAGGGCATCCATTTTATTTTTTTCTGTACAAACTATCAGAACAAGACTTTTATTCACATTAAAAAAATCAGCTTTAATTTGCTCTGACCTACACACTTTCCAAATTCATTTTACTCAATTCTCAAACCTTTCGTCACATCGCCCACACCCTCACCAGACTACAGGAGCTACAAGTAATTATACCTAACATCTAAACAGAGCAAAAAACCCCATCCCTTCCAGTTTTTCTTGCACCTTCCTCATAATTCCTCATTAAAAAAAAAAAAAAAACTTCCTTGTTCCTTCTTTATTTCACGTTCACATTTCATCACCAAAACAGCAAATGAGGCCATTCCACTTCTTCTCAAGCAAGATGAGAAATATACTGTTTTTTTTTTTTTTCCTTTAATGCTACACCCAGGAGTCAGGTGAACCTGGGTATTGTTCTGCTCTATAAGAAGATCGTCTGGTGGAATAAAAGTCTACATAATTTGTGGTTGATTTCAGTCCATACTGTGTTGTGTAATCTGAAGTAGCAGGAAAGTGAACTCGATCATCAAAATACGGGTCTTCATAGCTATGTGGGGACTGCAAATATAACCTGTATGCATCATAGTTTTTTCTGTTGGTATCCTCTTGACTGTAGTACAATTGCTGATGCTGTTGCAAAAATGGAAGAAAAATAAACGTAAACAAATAATTAACAGAGAAAAGACTTGTTTCTCAAACTTACCTTTTATGGAAAGGTGCTGTATAACGCGTGCAAACGCAGCTGGCATCAACAGTGTTAGTAGCATAGGTCTCACCCTCCATGAAAGGTACCCAATGTTTAAAAATTACCAGTGGAAAAACACCTCTAGGCCTCCCTGCATTACACCTTCTTGGAAACCTAGCCAAGTAGTATTTTTAAAGCATACATAGACAATATAGTATCTGACTACTCACCCCCCCAAAAAAAAGGGAGACTGGTCTCAGCTCCAACCATAAGAAAACCAGACTAAAATAAGTGATTAGAAAAGGAAAATATGAAGACAATAAACTAACAATTGCTAATGTACTTTTAAGTACAGTAATCCACAACAACAAATTACCTGTTAGAGATAAACACTATAAAAAGCACTCTGATATTAAAAAATATACTCAAACTCCCTTAAATTCCACTGAAACATCAAGTGCTGAATCTTGTATCAATATCCTTTCAAAATAAAATTTCAGAGTCACCTGTAGTCGTCTATTTTGTTCTCTTGCTGGTGAGGAATAGGAACTGATGTAAATTGGTGAAGGTTTGCTGGAACCTGTGAGAAAACAGTTTATGGCATCAACTTTATTATTATTATTTTTCTTTTTAATCATTCTTTTTGCTTTTACTTTACCCACAGAAATTACGTGGCACCCAAACAGTTAAGTTTGCAGACGTTGGTATCTACTGTCCAGTAATTGAGTCATACAGGTTAAAAAGCATCATGGATACTGGCTAAACTCTGCACCTTGGCCACTGTGGCCAGAAAGCGCTTCCCTTTGCGTCTGTGTACCCAGAAACGCGCTTGGAGCCTTCTGAACGCGGACGGGGAAGAGAGAACGCACGCAGCGCTGGCGGCCACGAGCCTTCTCCGCCTCCTCCTCGCCCTTCTGCAGGGATAACTGCCTTAACATTGCACCTATGACAACTCTCAAACGCTCTGAGAACCCAAAAGTTGAGTCCGAAAAGATAAACCCTGGTCAGATGGAAAGCCTTTGCCAGTATATTCAGTCATATTTACGTAGCTACTAACTAACGTACTTAAAAAAAAGTCACGGTATGAATTGTTCTCTGAGGAGGGCTCACACAGAGCGCCCTAGAGAGCTTATCATGCAACGTTTCATTTCAAGTCTAATGCAGTATTTTAAAGTGAAACAGAATATATACAAAAGCAAAACACACAAAACAAAATATATACAAAATATATCTTAAGGATATTAGTTAACTACTGCAGGATAAAAATAACATGCCTGATTGCAAAACCAAATCAAAAATAAAAACAGAAGTTGCTTTATAAACAAGGCATCAGGCATTTTCTTAAAAATACCACTGTTTTAACGTACTATTCATGGCTGTTAAGGGCTGTTAAATTACCTACTAACCATATATCACTGTTAGTGAACAGCATGAACTTTATATTTAAAAGCAACAGTACAAGACAATTTTGTCCCTCAGCAATAGTTAAAATTGAAACCAGGAGGCTTTTTTTTTAACAGACAAATAGCCTTTACAGCAAGGAACTTGTTTCTCCTTGTTCACTGTCATCTCATGACTTACGTCAACTAGTATGGAGGAAAGGTGAGATCAGGTATGAAGACCTGGTATGTTTTTTGTAATATTTATGAATAACAGTGTAATACAATGATTTTCTGTAATAGTTTTAAATAAGATTCAATTTTCCAAACACCTCTTATCTCCTAATATGTAAACAAATCTCTTCTTATTCTGGTAATGTGTGCAATTTTAAAGAAAATATAGCACAATGAAGACAGATGAATATCCTGCTGTTCCACATGCAACGAATATGAATAAAAATGGAAAACAACATCAAGCAACAGTAACAAGCCTGCTAATGCAACTGTCCGTATTGTGATTGTATAAACTCCTCAGATGAGGAATATTTACGTATTGCAGTTACAATCCCCCTAATTGGTATCTTACCAGTATATACGTCTTTATGTGTAATGATATCGCCTTGGTTATTGTAATAGTGCATAGAAGGTTGTGTTCGATCATACTCAGAGCGGGGTTCTCTAATTCCTAATAAAGCCGGTGATGAGGATGTGCTGCCAACTGATGAAAACAGAAAGAAAGATTATCAGGATACGCAATAAAAGCCTATCAAAAATTTGCAAACCTAACCTCCTCTTTCTTCTCTTCTCTCCCCTTCTGTCCCAAGGCTTAGCAAATGGTAGAGATGGCTAGTCTCACGGGTAATGACCAAAACTAGTACGTAGTTCTACCTGGATGAAGAACCCCAGTGACAAAAGCTGCCAACAATGAATCATCAAATTATCATTTTATATTTTTAGGCAAGTCACTGGCCCACAATGCTTATAACTGAAAGAAGAGACCTTACCCATTTGTTTGCATATGACATCCTGAGAACTTCGTTTAGTACAGGATATTCAAATACAGATGTAAATGTTCACTTGTTTGCAATGAGAAGAAAATACTCCTGTTAGCTTTTATGATTTTATTCAAGTTATCCTCAAATACAATCGGTAAGTCCATCACATCAGCTGGAACATCAGAAAACTTTAGTCTGTCTGGCTGAAATGATCCATGTACATGTTCGTGTTACTTTGACTAGCATGCAGAAGTGAACCTTGGCTATTTTGAGCTCCTGTTGGCTGGTAACCACTGCAGGATCGTACCAGTGCGTTACTTACTTTTTATCCCTACAGTGAATACCTACATCTCTCTTTTAGTTGGAAAAAGTTTGTTCTGGTAAATCTTTTCTCTTTTACAGAGGACTCAGCTGATTTGTTAGCTTAGACAAGCTCTACTTAACACAGGAGAAAAAATAATTTCTAGAAATTTTGCTTCAATCATTAATCAGTGATATCGTCTTCCATTAGCCATGCTCATTATGTCATATGCCACAATTTTGTGTTATTATGGACAGTTTAATTATTGATAGTATCCTAGCACATTGGTGGTTATAAAAAGCAAGCAAAATTGTGTAACGTGTGTGCTAATAATGATCTGTCTGTAGTCGAATGACTAACAAAGCACAGCTACTACAACCCAAGTGTAACTGCTGCACCACTCATGTAGCGTGCATGCTGCAATCTGCAAGGGAGCTGTCACAGTACTCTCGGAGGACAAGTTTTTTGCACCAAACTTCCACCTCACTACTTTTAGCCTATTCAGGTTATCTGTAGTCCACAGAACTGAAGCAACACAGTTCTGCTAGCGTATCCTGGGAGAGAAAACTCTGAGATAAGAATATCTTTGTACACATTGGCAGAGTCTGGTCAGTTCCCTGAGCCGAAGCCCTAATTGCTTCAATGCCATTGCTTATTTTCAAAAGATTTTTTAGGTCTGGCTGTAGATACAGAGCTTAAGCAGTCCAAGAGTTCAGGGTTTAGAGTTGTGATGCCAGTATGCGCAATTTGGCAGTAGGTATAAGAGTAAAAGCTGTTTTCAGTATCATGTGGTATGAGAGTGACAAAGGGATGTTTGGTCAGGAAAATCTCTCAGAATCCCAAAAAACTGGGTAAAAACTGAAAATGGAACACAGTAAGACCAGAATAACAGAGTTCTATAAAATCAGTAAAGACAGTCTGCTACTGTGTGGCACTAGACAAAGAAACCAGCACTTTATGTACTCTGGTGGTTGAGAGGAGCCCAGGGCATGAGGTATTATGATTTCTTCAGCATCTTAGACACTATACGTATACGGCTAATAGGAAAATGTATCCCTGGCTGAGTCCGTGTCGGCTATCCATGTCATGAAGGAATGTGTGAAGGTTCCTAGTTCCTTCTGTGTAATGAAATAAGTAATTAAACAACTGGTCACTTATTGCAGCAGTCAAAGTAAAAACAAAAATGTATATATACAGATATTTATCAGTAGTCAGAGAGATCTGTTCATATAAAACCACAAGAGTAAATTGGATCAATCCAACGCTAAACAAAGAGGATATACATGGCTCCAGGCGGGTTTTATATCGGCCTTCTCCTGAAGATCTCAGTCCTAGCAATGGAGATGTTATACGAACAAGGGGCAGGTTTTGGTTAAACTGCAATAAACAAAGATTTTTGTATTTGACTTACTTGCCTAATTGGCAATGCTAATGTTGAGACACCAACAAATCCTGTGGGATCTGAAGCTTGCCAACAATATCAGCTGAGGTAATACACCATACATGAAGTACTTGAATACTGCTGCTCATATATTTAAGTACAGGGGAGAGAGAGCAAGATGTCCATGTTTTAGGCAAAGTAACAAGTAAACTGAGATAATCAGGGTTCAAAACGAGGGATACCAGGTACCCCAAGGGAAGAAGCTCTTCAGTAAATCTCTTTACAGGCCTTAACTGACCTGACTGTATGACAGGTGACATCTGTTGATTTGTTGTCGATAAAGAAGGATGCGATTTGAATCTCTCTCGCTCTAGTGTTGATACTGGTGTAATAAAATGACTCTGATTCCATCCATCCTGTGGAGTGGCAAGAAGAAGAAAACAGCAAAATAAATTGCTTTTCATTAAATTAAGAGTTTTTGTGGAACTGTTTTCAAGTGGATGCTAATTTTGTAATTTACCTTTTTATAAATGCTACGGAGGTCTCGGTATTGCCATAACGTATTCAGTACCTGGGCGGCTGCCTTGACCACTTTCAGTGACGATCTAAGGAGGCAAAGCATACTACAGTAACACAAACTATTCACCTCACTTAAAAAAAAAAAAAAAAAAAGGAAAAGAAAACAAAATCAAAACCCTAAAAAGCTTTCTGAGCTACACAATAGCATAAACCTTGCAGCTGTGAAGAGAGCCAGGTCCTGTTCTGCAGGTCTCAGCAAACGCACGCCTGCACTGCAACAGCGTGGTTACAGCTGGGTCAGCAGCCTTAAAAGAAAGGCTCGTATATGGACACGATTAGGCATGACGATTATTGCCCTCTCTGGCCTAGAAATCTTCTCTTCGGGTCATCCACATGAGGAACACAGGCAGAAAGTATGAGATAGCTATTGTCACTGTCTGCAAAAATTAAAAATCATGAAAAGGAACATTTTATTTAGCACATTTCATAAAAACTGCCATTACATACTTGCTCCACACTGATTTTATTTTTAACAAAACATCTGTCCATTCTCAAGAGCGAAGCTAGGAAAAGAAGATTGCTCTGTCTGTTACTATAAACAAAATCGTGTCTCCTTTGTAAGGAGAAATGGCTGTAAACTTAGTAGTGATACTGAAGGATTGCTTTGAAATTAAATGGCAGCGTGGCATCCGTGCTAAACGTACGCCTTTTTCTGTCACTGTGAAGATTCATCCAAATTCACTTTTTGAAAGAAAAGACTGAAAAAAATTGCAGTTTGTAGTGTCAGTCAAAGCAACTAATATTTTGGCAAGATTTTAAATTTGCTTTAAGTACCCCATCCCCTCAAAGTTCTCCACGCAGAGGCAACTGTTCACCGTATCTCGGTATCCAGGGAGAGACAAAGTCACGTAAGGGATCACTGCACTCACAGCCACATACGTCCTGGATACTCAAAATATAATCCATAGTCCTTTTGAGACAGATTTTGTTCAAAATGTGGCAGATGTAATTCACATTGATCAGCTTCTGCGGTTGGAGATCCTTTTTTCTCCCTCACTGTCTGGTCAGACACTGGTGGCAGTAGCCTGGGCTGACTGTGTATCAGCTTCCTGCTATGCACAGAAGGGAGACCTGGGATACCCCGGGTTAGGGAACAGCCCTGCCAATCGGCGTCCTATCCGACACGCTGAGGAGTTCGGAGCGGAGACCTTGTTCAGAGCCCGATGGGGTCTGTAAGGCTTTTCAGTCGTGACTCGGTGCTGGTCCTGCAAGGCTCGCGAGCTGCTACGTGTTCCTGTTGCTTGATGCTCAGCTCTCCGGTTCTGAAAAGTCTTACTTGCATTGCACAAGCACGGCGCCAGATCGAGCCTGGGCTGAACCCAGCTACCCTCCAGCGTACCAGGCCGTAGGGCACAGACATGCATGAATGACTCTGCAGAGAGCCACATCCTCCCATCAGCACTTGTTTTGCAAACCTACTCCAGAAAATCCCACTGGAGATAAGCTGCTCACAACCTACCCACCGGACATGCCAGATTTCATTAACAGCTGTTGTGATACATCCCCACAAAGGTGCTAACTTATCTCAACTTTGAAAAGCTCTAAATACTCTATTAATGTTGTAGGCGTTCAATTGAGAGGAGAGGTTTTTTATATCATTTTACATTAATAGGCCCTCTTAATACGATTACTGCACGCAACTGTAAAAGCCTCCACAAGCTTTAGATAACGCAGCGTAAGGGAACGGCAAGTACCAACTGCTCCTTGTGCCCCAGCACGTTTCAGGCTTTGGTAGCTACTCATCAACAGATGAGGACTGCAAAAACAGATCCTTTTTCTACTCAAAAAGCCATTTCCCACATTCTTAAAACATCTGACATGGAATAGAGAAACACTTTAGGTATGAAGTTTGGTGCCCACTTGCCTGTCACCTCTTCCTTTTGTTATGTTCACCAGTTTTTCTATTCCTCCAGTGTCGGCGAGGGCTTTGGCATTTTCCATGTTTTTGCTAGTGACCTCGTGCAAAGCGCAGCAGATTGCTGCGACAGTCTCATCAGACAAGATGCTTGGACTGTTGCCTCCAGGAAGTCGGTTCACCAGATCTCGCATAGCATATTTACCTTTAAAAAAAAACAGCAACAGAGCCAAGCAAGAAAATACATTTTAGTACTTAAGATGTGTAATTCTAGTACTCATCCCAAAATTGTATCTGAAAGCAAAAAAAAGGAACATAGGAGCAAAAAAAAGGAAAACTTCCAAAAATTCACATTTTACACAGAGGCAAGAGAGACTAGACATCCATTTTTCAAATAACTTCTTTTTCTTCTGGCTTAAAAAATGTGAGAAATAAGTGTATTTGTGTATTACAGCAGGATCATTTGAAAATAGGAATTATGTGGAGGAAGCAGAACTGTTCAAGGAAAAATGTCACATTATTTTTTGTGCTTGAAGGGGTGGTGCACATCCCTAGGTTATATGTGGGAGGGTTAGAGAAATCCTTACAGCGACCTGGAAGTTTCCTTTCCGACACTCTGTTCACCCTCTCTGTCACCCACACGAGATCAGGTCTCATTTCGGCCAGATTTCAGCTGCTGCCTGACACACGGGAGCAGTCACGATGCCAACAAAGGAAAGGAACTAAAGCGAAGGCAAATATTTTTCTTATGTTTAGGCTGTGTTGATAAAGGAATGACTGATTTTATTGAAGACATGTATTTTGTATGTAACAGTGATAACGAATAAGCTTCACACAAAGCCGTTAACTCTCTATTTGCATTATATGCCCAAGGAAATCTTCTGCAAAAGGAACTCCTTTTTACACCTACTGGAAAACTATCCAGCATGCTTGGAATACAGTCGTGCTCTGTCACGGTCCATCTTTCAGCAAGATCACCAACAAATGTTTGCACATGCCAATTTTTATTGTTATTTATTAGAATCCCTGATCTCTACTCTGAAATAACTTCATTTTCTTCAGCGTTTAGACCGTCTAAACACACTCTCCCTGCCCTTACCGACTGTGGGGACGTCGCACCCAATTGGTTTCTGGCATAAGGTAGTTCATGCCTCCCTTCGTATCTCAAAATGTGTTACACAAAGATTGGTTTTGCAGTGTATTTGGAAAGCAAATAATTCTAGGCTTTGAGAATTAGGAAGAGGGAAGGGGCAGGTGCATTCCTGAACTGAAAAGTTCTGCCAGGAAAGGGAAAAAAGTCCTGAAAAGAAAACGTCACCTGAGTAACTACCTGTATGGGGCAGGTGTCATAGAACACAACTGTTACCATAGTTCCTTGCTGGCAGAACAAATGCTTTGCAGGAAAGCACGCTCCGAGACGCTTCAGAAACACATAATGAAACTCTTTTCAGCTGTATTTGTGGTTTTGAGAATAACTCTTTGTACTCTTATCTGCACAAATAGTTCTTACACATTTATCATCGCAGTTAAAAACAAAAAATTCTTCTATAACAAAAACCAAATTTCTCTACACCATGACATGTGTTAGCAGGGCTCATGTAGGCTACCTCAGCCTGAAGCTGAGGGTGAGGCATGGTCAACACCGGCCATAACGCATCCTGAGATCCTTGACCAAGGAGGGACAAACGCTTTAAATGCTTTTTTTTTTTGAAAAATGCTAGACGAGAAAGGCACAGCTGAGGGCTTCAAAGTATTAAATATTAACGTATATGAAACAGAAACAGTAAGCTTTTCTAGCAGGCACCCTTGTTGATTATTTAATTCAGCAAAGGCATGTATATATTGCTCTATACCTGTTTTTTGGTAGAAATACTTTACTAGGAAGGGTTTCTTCCCTCTCTCCCTACCTAGTATCATACGTTAAATAACATATTTACTGGTGTACAGCAGAGCTGTCATATCCTCTTATAATAAGCAAGGAACCTTGAAACCCTCTAAGAAGGTTACCGTTTAGCTCCAAGGAAGTGGAGTTGTGCTTTCCATCATATTTTGTATTGGTGGTTTCCTGTCTGGTTAAGTTTAGCTGAGGTGACTTCAACCCGTTGTAAAGAGATTGCTATGCAAGGCGGCTAAAGGCAAACCAAAAAGACAACATTACTCTGAAAAGCTACTGCTGTCAAAAAGATTAATGTCTGTGACACTAGTGACACGGAATAGTAAAATCACTTATGCTATTTCTATTGGTAGACTCTCATCCTAGTATTTTTTCACTATAAGATCTGACATGTTGGTAACCCTGCTTGCTTCAATACAGTTCTGTACTTACCGATCAGCTCCTTATTACGAACATCTAACGCCATATTCCTTAAGGCAGTTGCCACAGAAGAAACAACTCTATCATTATCCATTCTCAGCAGTTCCACGAGGATTGGCAGGCCTTTTTCTTTTCTGACAGCAGCTCGGATGTATGCTGCAAACTGCAATAAACCTTCAGTTACTCGCAAACCTGCTACAATAGTCTAACTGATATTATCACTTGCAATATTGTAATTCTTAAGTATTTTAGGAGGGTCATTTTCCAAAGAAGGGATGATAAGTTAAATGCATATCTTTTCTATTATTATGGAGGGTTGGCTCATCCCTAACATAGAAAGATGTTTAAAAAAATGAGCTAAGAGACAAAATAACAGATGACATAATTTACTAAAGCAGGAATAGTATTCTGAGTAAAAAGACTAATTTTAAAAGTCATAAAATGAAAAGTCTCAGCTGTTTTTCTACAGCAAAGGAAGTAATTAACTTTTTTTAAAATCTCTGCGACAAATACATAAAATTAGTAAGGCGTTCCCATGTGGTGCGTATTGCAACATACTGTATGTAAGGGCTAAAAGCAAGAATATATGGAAATAAACTATAAAAATAATGAAACAAATAGAAACAATCTATTTACGTCGATAACCAATTAGTATATCAAGTACCACAGTCTTGATTCTTGTGGGATGTTAACACTGCATCTTATATATTTGTATTTGGCACTGGTCTTACTTTGGCAGTACCTTCCCACTAAAATTCACAGCTAGATTTTTTTGATTCTAACATGCACTGGAGAAAAGCTTTCACTGTTTGTTTAAAATAAGCGGTACCGATATCAAGGCCAGTTTCCAGATTGCTCTTCTTGCCTACCATCTTTGGTTTTGCTTTACACTGTGGAATTAACACTTCTGCAATGTCTAAGCAATAATGATACACGCTAGAGAGAAACACTCGTGTGCAGACTAGAAAATCATTACATGTTCCCTCCTAAAGCCATTCCAGTACCTTTTTGAAAGCAAACAGCTCAAGTACAACTATGGGAGGAATAATAGGAATTCAGATACCCGCAGCATTATGAAGTGGTTTTAAAACATTACCTTCCAGTTGCCTGCAGAAAGGTTCTGGAGGGATCCCGCGGAGCCCTCTAGAGTAGCTGGGTTGGAGCTTTCTGCGAGAAGTGTTAGGTATGGTTTTACCACAGATGGGTGCCACAGCATTTCCACCCCTTTAGGAGACTTGGAAAATCCTGGTATAGGGCCAACTCCATCCCACTGAGAAAGGAATATGCATTTGTGAGTACATGAAACCTCTATATTTTCATTTGACATATGTTTTTTCCCAAGCCATATATACACATATATTTTTTAAAATCATTGGCTAAACAGCAGTTGATATATTTGTACAAAGAAAAAGGCAAACCTGATCTTCATGTGAAGCTTTTTTTTTCTTCTTCTTTTTATTTCTCTGAAATTACTCTTTCCAATTCAGAGATCTTGAGTATATTTTTAATTCATTAATGCCCAGCAGACGTGCCTGAGGTACCTCCAGTTCCAAACGATAAGAAAGGTTTCTCAAGGTGCACACACAGTTCTCCACTGTCTGAAACCGAAGCATAAAGATGGCAAGCAGTTAGTTACTTTCTCACATAGCGATACAGCAAACCAAACAAATTGAGTAGAGATGAAAAGACGTTTGGAGCAAAAGAACCAAATTCTAATTCTGGGTCTTGGGCATCGCTGCTTCTGTTTCTTTGGGAAGATTGAAATGTCTCTGCTTATATCCCCAGTTATGAAAATATTGGTGAAATCATCTCTGCTGTAGTAACTTATTTTTTGGAATTTTGAAAATAAAAAGCATGAGTGCTTTTTATTATTGTTTTATCAAGGAATGAATACTTCAACACTCTCCAAAACGTAAAGCACAGAACCAGTTAATTTGTATTATGCAATAGAATTTGATTGTGCATGAATAACTTCAGGTGAGGAGAGAAGACCAGTCAAGCTAAGCACATCCCAGTGCTAAATTACACTATATAAACCCCAAAAGATTGTATCAGACATATGGTTTAGTACTAAAAATGACTTAGAGTATGCACACACCTTGCTGTCATAATCCGACGTGTTCACACACGTATGGATCACATACAGCAGTGAATCGACCAGCCCTTCGCAAGATCTCATTTGTTTGCGGGCTTCTTCACCGGCAGAGCTCAGATTCCTAAAGGGTTGAAAGGAACAAGAACGTAAGTGGACGTAGCGCAGTCACGGGTACGCAGACGTATTTTATCCAGCAGTTTGCAGAAGTTTTTACGCAGCTGTTTGATACGTGACTTTGAGAAGACAAAAGCAAACATACCACGTGGTGCAAAAACCTCCCCCTACCCTTGCACAATTTCCATAAAAGATAAATATAATTCAAACTAATTTTAAGGTAGAAGCGATTCACTGACAAAACTGAGCAAAGGCAGAAATCTCTTCCCCACCGCCTCTCCCGATCCAAGCCTCCTCCGCTGTCCTAACGCAGCTCCCAGGTTGTGTCCGCTGTGGAACAGATCACCAAACTTGTCTGAGTTAAAAATACCCTCTGTTGTCTCTTTTAAAACCCAGATAAGTTCAGCGATCTGTTCTGTGGCGCAGCCTCGCTAGCATTTCTGCTAGCGACAGATAGACTACAGATAGTGATAGATGGTGCAAGTATGTAGACGAAGGTGCAGGGAAAGGAAAAGGCTGCCGTGTGCTTCAGAGCACGCAGCAAAGGGCGGGAACAAGCATCTGCCTCCAAGGCCACCGAAACCTCGGCCTCAGGCTCGGATCGGATGCACGTTAGAAAGGGCGCTGCTGCGGAGAAAAGCCGTCATCCCTGTCCAGAGCTGCTCGCTCCCCTGCGCTGCGCCAGCACGGCTGTGTTCAACCGCAGCGTGAAACTTGTCATCTTGAAAATGACCCAACGAGCAAAAGAGCGGTGGCGTATGAAGAGATTCTGGGGTTTGGAAGGGTCGCCAGCAAAAAAAAAGCAATTCCATGCCGTGCGTTTCAACGCAGCGGCCTTCCTCGACTGCTTGATGGAACACAATTTGAAATCTAGTAAATTAAAATGATAAACAAACCTACAACTAAACAGAAATAGTTCATATACTACTCCCCGTCCTTGAATTCTCTTTTCAGATATTTTAGTTTTGCATTTTTTTATTTTGAAGAATACTTTTTTCCCCACTTACTGCTGTTTGAGAAATCCACAAAAGGAAGAGTCAAACATGTCTTTACTGATATGCATACTTATACATACATAGTTTTTTTAATTGTATACAGCAATAAAGAATCACCAAATGCACAGTTTTTTTTCTAAGTAATTCCCATGAGCCACGCAAATCAAAGTAATTAATGCCAGTGTCTAACTTTGTGCTTGTCAAGTTCTTCCGATATAGAAAAAGATAGATATAAAAGTACGGAATTTATAGACTGTAACAGCAATTTTGTTGCACAGTGATCCTATACACAGAACCTGTTGGATAACACGGTTCCTCTGCAAAAAGGAGTCTTGTGGAGCAGCAAGTTACCTTAGGCATCCGGTAGTGTTGCGTAGGACTAGGGAAGTCTGAAATTTAATTTTATGATCATCGTCAAAGGAAGAACTGTTCCACCCGGAGTGGGGCACTATCACAGTGTTCGTCAGCGTGGCCAGAGCCTCTCTGATGATCGTCATCTTCACGGCGTCGCACGAGGACAAGTTCCAGAGAACCCCTTAGGGAAGCATTGCATGCAGCAACATCAGCAACGACTCGGCAGCGTTTACTGCGCTCAGCAATCGTAAGGCAACACTAACAACTTAAGAGACATCACTTTAAACAGGAGAAAAATACATTTACCTATGCATAACCAAAAGAAATATAATTAATTAGTCTGCAACACAACTTTTACATGCCAACAGCATTCATTGGTCAGCAAAGCTGCCATTAAAAGATTCACTTTACAGTCCCGAAATAATACTTCGTAAACTGCAGGTCACAATTTATTCAACAGTCTTCCGTTTGCCTGTCCGACTGAGGTGTAACCTCTTCAATGAAATGTGAAACAACAATCAGAATAAACCTAATCGTAGATCAGCAGCTACGTCTCCTGCCATACTGAGAAAGAAAATCTGCATATCAGTGAGTAAATAGTCTCTCTCCTTCAAGGAAAATCAGCCAACAGAAACATCCACTGATTTGACAGGAGGATTTTCTTTCTTTCTCACTTGAGCAACAGCTCATTCGGCTAGCCGGCAGGAGAGGGGAAGCCCCTGTCGCACTATAGGAATCCAGATGTATGTTCCCTATAAGCATTCAGACTTGTCCCATTTTGCAAATCACCTTTCCATCATCCTGAAACCTGTGCATCAAGGTCACTACACATCTCTAATGCTAACACTTTTCTTAGATATCTAAAGACAAGAATCCCACACTGACAACTTCCTGTAACAGGAAGAAAAATAAATCTGTCATTTTTCGTAGCTTGCCAGATAAACGTCAAATCATATTCTTTGAGGGGAAAGACAGACAGAGAGACCGACAGAGAGACTGAGAATGCTGAAAACACTAAAATCTTACTGAGTAAAACTCAGGGCTATAACTTAAAGGTATGTACTTAAAAATATTGCTTATAAAACACATGTGACAAATGAGACAGAGCCATACTGTAGAGCTCTGCACAGTCTACCCTGAGCGCAGTCTCATTTAATAGCAGGCACAAGTTGCTAGCAACACGTACAAACTCGTTGTTTCCCTGCCTTTATCAATATTACCATGACATCTGCTAGGACCTTCAGCGTGAGCTGGTGCAGACTTAGGCTACAGCAGACACGTCAGCTCCTAGAGGGGCTGCTACTGGATTTGCCAGATTAATTCCGCATACAACTTAATATAAAACAAAAAGCAAAAGTCATCTACTACTAATTTATTTACTGATTTATTGATGCCTGCCATACACAGCACATCTGCCCTGCAGGTGCATACGCGCAGGGCCACGCCAGCGGGACGGAGGGCAGCAGTGACGCTGCTTCCCAACCGCGCAGAGCGTGAGCGGCGTGTGGCGTGACCGCTGCGCCGCTCTCCTGGGGAAGACTGCCGGTGCAGGGGGGAAGGTGTGAACATGCATGCGGACAGAAGAAATATCTCAACACAGGCTAGCTGTTGGTACGGGACCTTCCTCCTTTGAGTAGCTGCTCACATGGACATTCGCGCTATGGGTGATGGCCAGAAGTAACCTCACTTGTGGAGCCACGTGGAGGCCACTATGGGAGCTGCGACTGCTTTACTAAATGTGTCACAGACTGTACTTCAGGCCACGGTACAGTCTGCAGCAGAAGTGCAGTTGCAACTAAGCTAAGTCTCAAAAATAGAAACGCTCCTTACAGATGCCACTGAAGCTGCCTGTGCTCTGGGAGAACGTGCCCCATCCCCAGGGGTATTTTCACTTGGCTGTCTCATCAGTCCTAGCCAGTCGGCAGTCTGAGATGAGACAGGGGCATCTATCAGAAGAGGAGATGAGGCATTTTTCTGAACTCTTCATCCTATTCAAAAAAGGGCAAGAACATCTGATTTCCAAAGTGTGAGAGAGTCTTCAACCCTGTAAGGAAGAGGTTAGGGAGAGGGAAGAAATAGATTAATATCCTGATTTATAAGAAACTCAGAGATTAAAGTCACAAACAATTTAAAAAAGAACATGGAAGAGGTTTGGCAATGTTCTCAAGAAAAAGGGAAATCATATAAGCTGGAAATCTCTTCAAATTTCCAAGCAGAAGTAAAAGGGACAAGAAAGGCCACTTGCTTTGAAGAATGCAAGAGCAAAAACGAAGTGAGAAGAAACCAATTCTATGAATGTTATGGCTAAAAGATCATCAGTCTTACAAACGCAAATTCATTAAATATTAATTAAAGGTCATTAAGGCATTAAATTTCTCTAAAATGATGATGATGGTGTAATGGGAGATGGATGGTAGCCAATAAGGAGAGTTTCCAGCAAAGGTCCCAGGTGCGTGACATATAACGCTAGATCACATGGCCTGGAAAGCCAGGCAGGAGGAGTCATGCAAGATGAGGAAGGGAAGGGTGATATGTTTTTGTTGTTTTCCGTGACAAACGCAGCCACATGGCCTGCACCGATACTACCACTTTCTTGCCTACTTTCTCATTGTATACCTGGGATATTAGACACTTTGTGCAGAACTGAACATCCAAAAGCTGATGTAAAGAGACTACAGAAAGGTTCTTCTTGCAAGCCATGCCCACATTCACCTATTACCCAAAGGAAGTTACAGTCAATCTTTTACCCTTAGGCAGAATTCTGCAGTTCACCACCCTGTTGCATACCTTCTTCTAATAAGACATTCAACTACAAAGATACATTTGAGATCAGACATGCATATCTAGTTTTGCTGATAATTTAAGTAATATGCTACACACTGCATTTAATCATCTCTTTCAATCTGAAACACAGCTTAAAATACCTCTAAATTCTCAACCGGTACCCATCTTTCATGATAAAAAATCATTATTTCTTCCTCATAGACAATATTTTACTAATTGTAAAGTAATATAGCTGGGTACACCCAGCAAAAACATTAAACAGCATTTCCTCAGTAGCCTATTAAAATTGCTACTATAAATTATGTGGTTAACTCAATTTGCCTAGTTCTTGAACACTTAGTTTTCTCTTAATTATTGGAGGGTGGAAAGGACAACCAGACCAAGACAGTAAAGTTTTCAATACAGTCACACAAAAATAAGAAAGAAAAACCTTTGCATACTAAAAGCCATCATCAAAATAATGAAGCGGAGGCTTCAGGGGTGGATATATTCATAAGGAGGTTTATGACTGTGTTTGGACTTCCAGTTATGACATAGGCAGCCAAAGTACTTAGTGTCATACAGCAGTTCCTACAGATGCTTTTCTCTGTAGTTTAGCTCACACAGAGATAATTTTGATCTTTGGAATAAAGAATACGGTTGGTAGCTTTGCTCCCCTGGTACAACACAACTTTCTTCAGTAGCTCATCTGCCTAGGAGCCAGACTTTTTGGCAACTAGTCCAAGATTGTACAACGAACTCTCCTAACAACCCAACGCTCTCACAAACCTCACAGCTGCCTTTTCTAAATCCCAGACATATTTATTTGGCTACTGTTGCTGGAATGGGAAGCAGGATGAGTCCAGGCTTTGAGATGGGACTGTCCTAATTGTCTCCTTACAGTGAGCTTCTCAAAGACACCCAAAACGATTTTAAACTCAAGAAGCCTCATTTTGTTGGAACACAGCCTGGGACAGTTACCTTTTTAAATACAGAGAAAACACACAATGGTGGAGCAGAAATAGAAATGGTTTGCACTGAACTCTCCTAGCTGCACCCTTGCAGAAAGATCCAAGCTTGGTTTCACTCAACCAAACGGCTTTTGAGCTAACGTAAGTCGCAAGTGTGATAGATATAATGTTTGAGTTTGTCCTATAGTTACAGCTGTGACACAGCCGGATATTAGGGCTGTGCCTGTGTGCTCATCCAGTGCACTTAAGTTATTAATTCCCTGGGTGGTCCAGGAGCTCCCCAGCCAGTTGTCAGCACACGTAAGACAACAGACGGGTCTGAAACAACGAACTGACTTGTACTGGCTGAACTCCCTCCCAGCCACCTTACAGCAAAGCTTTTGACTAGCTGCTGCAGAAGATCTCCAGGTAGAAATTCTGGACTGTCCTGACGATTTCCCCCCAGGCAGCTCCAATCTGCGTGTTTCAATGTATTGCCTAATGCTGTGGGTGGAGAACTGGCCCATTCCAGAGACTCCCAGGCAGGTCCTGTTGCAGAACTGACTGAACTGCACATAGATAAGACACACGTAAACAGTCCATAGAAACTGTTTTTGCAGATGTAGAAAAGGTCACATAAAAGTTTTCTGTACACAAACTGCATACAAAACACTTCCTAGCTATCTTAGGACAATTGAGAGCAATGGATCAGGCATATGCTGGAGTGGTCCCATAGGACCGGGGGCCAGCTGGACACAGGGATGTGGCCAAACAGCGCTTTGGGGAGTCTCACCTGATTCAGTTGAAGACACTGCCACTGGACTCTCGCAGTGGAGACTCCTGTCACCATGCAGACAGTGACCAACCATTGTGTCTGAGAAATCTGGTTCCCCACATAACTGTTACCTTATGTCAAGAACCCCCTGAACTAGGCTTTCATTTTTTTTAAAAACACTCTGTCCGTGAGTGTCCAAGCAACAAGTACCTCAGGGTACTGCTGTCTGCATCTCGTTCCTCCTGGTCATCCCCTGACATCGCCTAAGCAGCTGAGTCTGCTGCATCTTGCCATCAACAACCTCCTCCCGCCTGACCCAGTCTTCTTAAAAGGGACTGGACACACAACCAAGAACAAACGAACCAACCTACAGTCTGTTTCAGTAGAAATCTTTGAACATTTCAAAGAATGCATACCCAGTTCCTTTTTTTATCCTTCATATAATCAGGATTATCATACTCATCCTGGTCTCCAGGTGTCCTCTTCCCACAGTTCCTGATCCTCACCAATCTCAAGAGTCGCTCTCTTCCCCAGCAAACTCCAGGCTCCTGGAGTTTACCTTCTTACAAAGGGGAGCAGGTTTGTGCCCCCTCAGAAGCCACTGCTCTCCCATCAATAGTCAGGGGCAACTTTGTCTCTACGTGCCTGTTGTTCTCTGCTCTGCCGGAGCCGGTCACAGACCCTTTGATCACG